CCATGGAGTGAACCCACGACCTTCCGATTCGCGGCAAGCGTCTAGCCGCTCAACCACGGCGACTCCCACTCGATCAGTACCAGAAGATTGGAAGCACAGCCAGGACCATGGATATGCTAGAAAGGACCCAAATAACAGAACCCACACATACACAAAATATGTGGGGGTGGAGGAGGGGGTGGGGAGTGACACTGAGCCAAAAAACACTGATATGAAAAACTATTCTTAGCCAGTTGGCTTAGAACAAATAAAATAAGACCATAATTATTACCGGGAGCCGCTGTGGTGTGCCAAATAGACTCTCGCCTGCCGTTCGGAAGGCCGTGGGTTCGTGTCCTGAGTGAGCCAGACTTTTTGTTTTTTCAAAAATGACCTTGGCTCTCAGATCGACACAGCCTTGAGTGGGTACCAGGTGAAGTTTGGGGAAATAAGGCGTGCGGCGTGGCGCTCACCACATCACCCACCAAGTTCCGATAGATCTATCAAATGTTGGTCTAGCCCTATACGCTCAATAAGGGCGTGCAAAAGGGTCCTTTAGTTTTTTACTTTTTCTTTTTTTTACAATTTTTACCAAGGAGGTTGAACGTGGTCACCCCCTAATGTGTCTTAAACTCCTTCATCCTAAATTTCGCCTCTTGTCTACAAGTCCTCACTGTGTTTTTAATTGCTTCCCTGTTCTCTCTCTCCTCCCCCCCCCCCCCACTTTTTTTTACTTGACTTTAGTTTGTCGGTCTTTGGTGTTTTTTGTTTAAATTTTGATTTCTCAAATAGAGAATGGGAATGAAACGAGAGTTATTGAAGGAAAGGAAGGAGACGAAATCTTAAATATCTATTATATATACTATGCTTTGGGAAACGTTAAGAGCAAATGAACAAGAGACAGACCGTGATACAAGCTATAGGATAACATCAAGAGATAGACAGTAATACAAGCTGGAGGATAACATCAAGAGATAGACAGTGACAGTGATACAAGCTGGAGAATAACATCAAGAGATAGATAGTGATACAAGCTGGAGAATAACATCAAGAGATAGACAGTGTTACAAGCTTGAGTATAACATCAAGAGTTAGAAAGTGATACGAGCTGGAGGATAACGTTAAGAGGTGGACAGACATCAGTCTCAGACAGTGAATAACTAAGGGCAAAACAAAGAGTGTTGGAGCTTCAATGCAGCCAAAGTCCTTTGTTGCGAAACACCTGATTGTTTAATTTTAGGAAAATGGTTTTGCAAACATAAATTATAAAAAGTGCATGAACGAATACATCAGCTGAGTGACAGTTTGAAACTAACAACATGCACTAAAAAGCGAAATATATGACCAACAAAGCAATACGTTTAGAATCTCTACTGACCTGTCAATTATTACCGGATCTGAAGGGGTTTCGTTACGATTACCGCAGCTTTTCTTCTCACAACACCGGCTGAAATCAGACAACGAAATATTGTATTAAAAGCAACCTTACTGGCAATAGCTGTGGCAAAAAAAAAAAAAGGGGGGGGGGGGGGAACATAAAAGAAGCATTAAAATGTACACAACTATCATTATAAAGGAATGCTCATGTGCAACCAGTCAGTCGCATCTGCGGTTCTGAAATGTGGCTAGTGATAAAGGGGCTGTGTCTCTGGAGGCATTTGATATGTGGATGACTAAAAGAGACGAAAGAATTGACCACCCACACACACACACACACACACACACACACACACAACATATGAAAAAGATAATATTACAAAGAAAACATTCTAGAGTAATTTAAAGGCTATGCATTTCTTATCTAGTCTATATCTTATGATGATGATGATGATGATCTCTTATGAAATGACGAAAATAAGGATTAATAACATTAACTTGAGCTCGCAGACTGACACAATCTAAAAACTTGTAGCAGGAAATGTTTAAGAAAGTAAAGGTTTGACCATACTTCTCATTTATTTCCTAACTAGTCAATAAAATATAGGTTTAGCATCATATGCCCTGTCCATTACTTATTAAGTTGAGGAAACAAGTCATCATCATCATAATGCAACAGGTCCTTTGCAGAACGTCGCTCTCATCGCGATCTGCCTGGAGAAAAAACGTGGTCGTTTATATCTAATGCCATCTTCGTGTCGGTCGGCCCCTGCCCCTCCCTTCTGGTACCATGCTTTCTGCTATTATTTTTTTTTCCAGTCCGCTTTGGCTCTTGAAATGACCAAAATATTTCAGCTTCCGAGACAAGATGTTGTATATTAGCTAATCTTCCTTGATGTTCAGATCTTTTAAAATGTCAGTATTTCTCCCCTTCTTTGTCCAGGATATTCTATGAATATTTCCATAGCATTTCAGCTCAAAAGCTGCTGCTTTCTCTCTTAAGAACTAGAAACAATTCCTTTATTATTTTGCCATACAAATTACTGTTAAGTATAGTTCTGATGTACTATTGTCTACATCTAATGGTAGGGGGAAAAGATTTCTAAAACAAAAATAAAGCAAAAAAAAAAAAAAAAAAAAATGCACGGACCAAAAAACATTCGAGACAAAAAGATACATCTTTAGACTGATAGAGACAGCTGAAAGATTCAGCCAAGATGTGCTGAGATGCTATGGAGAAAAGAATCTTGAAAACCTGTGAAATCTAAAAATTTTGTCAAGAGGATCGACTTCATTTAATCGAATTAAGTCATATGGCTGCGGCTTCTTCACGAGAACGGATATTCTTCTGTCAAAAAGTAAAATAAGACACGAACAACGCATATCCAGCGATAGTGCCAAGGAATTTCCAACAAAAATTTGCAGCTATGAACTGAACGATAAAGTCCATGGATTTTTAGAGTACGTGGTAAACGGGTTTACCGCTCAGCCACCACGATCCCCAACAGTACGAAAAATGCAAATCTAATTATATATATATACATATATATATATATATATATATATATATATATATATATATGTGTGTGTGTGTGTGTGTGTGTGTGTGTGTGTGTGTGTGTGTGTGTGTGTGTGTGTGTGTGTGTGTGTAAAGTAACACTATATTCCATCGCAATGCATTAACTAAGGCAAAGAAAAACGACCAAAGCAGAGATGTAGACATTTGTTGAAATTATCATGAAGTATCTTCAGCAAGATGCAAAATTATTGAAAGTTAGAGAGACAGTCAGCACAATGAAATTGAGAACTGTTAAATCTTATGTATATTCAAGTACTATATGAAGCAGAAGAGCTTTGACGATGAACAAGCAAACAAAAAATCGAAATTGAGGTGTAGATATACAGAAGAAAATGTGCTGCATGGAACCAAAAACAAAAGAATACAAACGTGAAGACATTGGAAATGAGAAAGAAATAGAAAAAGATAAAACCAAGATCATGACGCCACATAAACAGATATTGCACAATTTTTTTTAAAATAATACTGGATGGGAAAGTTGAAGATGAGATAGAATTAGGTAGACAAAAATACAACTGGTAGGCCGCCATCAAAAGATGGACGAATAACTGCCCGAGAGAGTGTAATACCAAGATAGGAGACATAATGCGTTGGACATACATTGCAGCCATCTTTCATTGTGAAGACGGAGGCTGATTAATTTACTTATAATAAAGTACACAGGTGAAGAATATTCAAACGACAAAACACACGGAATACATATACAGCAGCACATTACCTGCACATCACTTCATGAGTGAGCAAGACACGGCACATCTCCGGGTTTTTATCTTGTCCTTCGTACACAATTGCCTGTGAACAGATGATGCAAATGTGTTGTTTGTTGTTATGTAGTAAAGGTTCTATGGTCATTGTTAGTTTTTTTTTTTTTAAGGATAAAGGAGCCTTTCACAACCCTTCAGGTGTATTGGGCTAGACCTATATTTTATAGACCAATCTGCACTTGGTGGGTGATGTGGTCAGCATCACGCCGACTGCCTTTACGTCCGTGGACTGCAGCTAGTAATCATTCAAGGCCAGAGTCCACCTAGGAGTCAAGGTCATCTTTTTAAAAAAGTACGGCTACGTCTAGATCCGAACCCACTACCTTCCGATCCTCAGGCCAGCATGTAGCCGCTGAATAACGGCGGCTACTATGGTCATTGATAAGAGAATAATTATTCAGATGTTCATGACAAAGAGAAAGATCATTACGGTCTGGGAAGAATGAAGCTGCATGATGTTACAGGAAGTTCTGACCGACGCTTGACACTCGGGGGAAGAGCGAGACGGATGTACAATCATACAAAAACTGGTGCTATCGGAATTTTAACTCTTCGCTTGCTGCAGAAGATAGGGACAAAGCGCTAATGGGGGTGTCCCGAGTGCTGTGATGTCGATTCTTAATTCAAACATTCAAGATTCTTGACACGGTTGAAAAGGATAAGCAAAGAACCTTTCTCTTGCCAATGTTGCACTGTGCAAATGTTGCTAGACATTTATTTATTTAGAGCTATACTCGCTCGATCCCGCCTGCGAATCGGAAATTCGTGGGTCGGGATGCTGATGGAATCCGAATATGTCTAGCCCCACATGCCCAATACGCCTAAAGCCGTGCAAAAGGGTCATCTACCTATAGTCGCTCGATGGGTAATGTTAGCATTGTAAATCGGCTCTCTTTACTTCCTATGACAACTATCGGCATCCATTTTAAGTTGGTTTCACATGGGAGTCTGTAAGTTTTAAAAGTCAATTTTAAGGTCATTTCTTGAGATATATTTATCCTAAAATAAGCTACCTAAAGATAATCGAAAGATACATTTAAGAAGTGCAGCAGGGGAAGTCCGAGGCCTCACAAACAAGGCCGGCCCACCTTCTAAGATTGTCTATGGCAGTAATTTGCCGAAACAATCGTCGACGAAGGATCTCTCTACTGATGATTGGTGGACTCCTGCTGTACACGGTCCTCCCGTACAGTTCCTTTTATTATTTTAAGAATGTTTGTTTATTTTTTTTAAAAATTCACTCACCTGTTTAGTGACGGAATCAATAAGACGTATGTATACATCCTGCTCTTGTCGAATTC